CGACCTTATACTGGGGGCTTGGATAGTGTCTCGGGGCACAAGATTCGCGTTAGTGGGGTTATCGACTTGCCCGTCACGCTTGGAACGCTGGAGAAGACGCTTCCTTTCGTCGTGACCGATCACTTGTTTGTGGACGCAATTCTCGGAACGGACTCGCTAAGGGCGTTCCGCGCGGTGATCGACCTCGAGGAGCAGTCGATGACACTGAAGGAGACGGGGGACGTGGTCCCGTTGGGTGCGACAAGGGTAGAAGAAACCTACGCGGCTACGATATCGTCGACGGTGCGTTTAGAACCCGGACGTCAGGCCTTAGTGAGATCGAGCGTTCGCGGAACGATGAAGGACCACTCAGTTGTGTTGGTCGAGGGCGTTCCCGGAACGGACGAGGCTTTGAGAGTCGCAAGGACGTTGTGTACCGTGACGAATGGAACGGTGTTGGTCGAAGTGTGTAATGCTTCCGCAGAAGAGGTAGAGATCAAGTCTGGCGCGTACGTCGCTGCTGTAACCATCGTGCCCAAGTCGGCGTTCGCAACTAGAGTCTCTAAGTCAGATGAAACGACGAGGAACGTAAGCGCAGTGCTGAGTACGGTGAAGGGGAACGTGCCGGCTGAAGCTGGAACGATCGAGGCTGAGATGAGTGCCGCCATGGACGACAGCGAGGAAGACGACTTCGAAGTGGACTTCGAAGACTCGTCACTCGGAGCAGAACAGAGGGGTCTCTTCGAGAAGATGTTGAAGGGCCTGAGAGACTTATTCGTCGAAACTTCAAAGAAGCCTGGAAGGACGGACCTGCTACGTTTCAGCATCGACACCGGAGATCACGCGCCTATTAAACAGCCTCCGTACAGAGTGTCGAAGGCTGAAGGAGATGTCATGGAAGCAGAGATTCAAGAGTACCTAGATCTCGGACTTATCAGACCGTCGACTAGCCCGTGGGCCTGTCCTGTGCTGATGATACGGAAGCCTGATGGTGGCGTAAGATTCTGCATCGATTATCGGAAACTAAACGCTGTGACCGTGAAGGACAGTTACCCAATGCCTTTGATCGACGACATCCTGGACGTTCTGGGGAACGCGAAGCTTTTCTCCACTATGGACATCGCTTCGGGATATTGGAACGTTCCAATGGATCTCGACAGCGTGGAGAAGACGGCTTTCACGAGCAAATTCGGCCTCTACGAGTGGTTGGTTATACCGTTTGGCTTGTGTAACGCCGTGCCTGCATTCGAGCGTCTGATGGAGAACGTTCTCGTTGATCTCAAGTGGAGGACGTGCCTCGTCTACTTGGACGACTGTGTTGTCTTCAGTGACGACTTCCCGACACATTTGATTCGAGTACGACAGGTTCTGGAACGTTTCCGAGCGGCAGGGTTCAAGTTGAAAATGAAGAAGTGCCATTGGGGACGTGACCAAGTGGCGTTCCTAGGGCATATCGTGACTCCGACTGGAATCCTACCGAACCCTGAGAAGGCAAAAGCGGTGATGAACATCGAGAGGCCGCATGACTTGCACACGGTTAGAGCATTCCTGGGTCTGACAAGCTACTTTCGACGTTACATACCGGGATTCGCTGCGATCTCTGCGCCGCTGGAACGCTTGAAGCAGAAGGACGTCGATTTCAGGTGGAACGACGACTGTGAGGGCGCGTTCCGACAACTACAACGAGCGTTAGTGAAACCACCGATACTGGTGTATCCAGACTTCAAGAAGAGGTTTAAGCTCTATGTAGATTCGCCACACTTAGCGGTGGGAGCTTGTCTGATGCAAGAGGTCGACAAGAGAGACAGGGCGATCGCGTACGCGAGTAAGATGCTGGTTGGATCGCAACGGAACTGGGTTAACAAGACAGGTGGAACGACAGAAATTGAGTGCTGGGAAATCGTGTGGTCGACGCGCAAGTTCCGGTGTTATCTGAGTCACGCGGAATTTGATCTGTACACGGACCATCAAGCTCTCACGTGGATCTTTGGCGAGACAACACGAACGTCAAACGCCAAGTTGGCACGATGGGCCATGGAGCTGTCGCAGCTACGGTTTAAGATATACCACAAGCCTGGAACGTCGATGGGACACGCGGATGGTTTGTCGAGACTGTATCACCGACCGGATGCTGGTATTGTTAGCGCCATCCGAATGGCGGACCTTCTCAACGACAGTGAGGAAGAGCCTCCTGGAGTGCAAGTGCCGATTTCGGACGAAGTGCAGACTCAATCGGGAACGCAAGCCTTAAACGGAACGCTGGGTCGGAACGTCACCGACGTTCCAATCCCAGTCGGGGAGCCTGCCGAGACTACGGATCCTAACGGAGAGACTGAAAGAAGTAACCAACAGACAGAGGATGCGTCCGTAGTTGTCGAGCCTCTCACGCAAGCGGAGCAGGAAGAAGACTCGCAAGGGAGAGCTCTACAGGCGAACTCATCACCGATTGACGTGTATGACAAGTTCGTGGCTGAACAAGAACGTGTGCCCTGGATGCGAGCGCTGAAGGCGTTCCTGAAAGATGGAGCCTTGGCTCTTGATCCACAACTAAGAGTGAGTGTGCTGAAGATGTCTCCGCACTACTTGATTCGAAACGGAGTTCTGGCACGTCTCGTACATCTAGGAGCACGTGCCGGTCCAGCCAGAACTGTGTGCGTTCCAACTGTCCCCTTACCGTTCATTAAGACGGTCCTGCACTATTGTCACGCCGACATCTTCTCTGCTCACTTAGGGAGAACGAAGACGACGGACAAGGTGAGACGCCACGCGTATTGGCATGGGTGGAGGAAGGACGTGATAGAGTACGTGCGTGAATGTTCTATCTGCAGTGGAGGAAAGGGACATAGACCGTGGAGAGCGGGACTGATGCAACGGATGCCAGTTCAGGACTTGTCTGGCCCGTTCTCGCTACTAGTAGTCGACGCAATTGGACCATTGGTCGTCACTCCTCGTGGCAACAAGTACATCCTGGTGTTTGTGGACTACTTCACAAGATGGGTCGAGGCATTTGCGGTCGCTTCGTTGGACACGATCTCGTTTGTGAACGCAATGATAGAGGGTGTTATCTACCGTCATGGAGTACCGGAACGTCTACTAAGCGATCGTGGTTCCAACTTCACGTCTAATCTGGCCAAGTCACTGTATCAGACGTTGGGGATTAAGAAGTTGTTCGGAGCGGCGTACCACCTGCAGACACAAGGTCTGGTGGAACGTTTCACCGGAACGTTGATGGCCCATGCTACGTATGTTTGTGACCCGAGACGCAGACGGATTGGGACGTGTACCTACCAAGGGTCCTATTTGCGTACCGAACGGCATATCACGAAGGCCTCGGTGACACGCCGTTCTTTAGTCTGTATGGACGTGACCCGGTACTACCTATCGACTTAGCGTTCCTGACCCCAGGAAGGGACTGGAAGAGTAACGAAGTTGCGACGTACCGCCGGAAATTGTATCGCTCGTTGCGTGACTCGCGTCGTCTTGTGGAACGACAACTACTCAAGGCTCAGGATCGACACGAGCAGAGGTTGGACAACCAAGTGAAGGTGACATATGCAGAAGGAGACGCTGTCTGGGTGTACCAGTACTTTAGAGCCCGAGTGGGGGAACGCAGGACGAAGAAGCTGGCGTTCTCCTGGCACGGTCCCTACCGTGTTGTTGGCCAGTCGGGGAGAAGCTACAGATCGCAATTCGGACCCCCCCAAACGAGGTTTCTCCCCCTTAAAAAATCTCCACCCTCTTGGAAAGAGTCTCTTAACAAAAACCCCCCGATATTTGCCCCTCCAACCCCACAGAGAAAAAAAACCCCCACACAAATTTTCAAAAAAAAAAAGAGAGGATGGGGGGCCCCTAGGCGTTCCCCTGGGAACTTGGAGGACCCCGGCTTCCCCCGCCTTCGACGAGCTTTGTGGAACGTCTCTCAATTGGCGAAGAAGAAACAGCGTTCTCGGGAGTGTCGTCGCCGATAGTGGACGTGATCGCGAAGAGAGTCGAAAAGCGTGAGTTGCAGTATCTCGTACTCACCGCCACGTATGAGACGTTCTGGTTGTCTCGAGCGGCGTTGGCACCGGAGTTTGGAACGATGATACGTGCCTTTGAGGACGCAGATCGGAAGAAGAGAGGTCTGCCGGAGTTGCGTCGGAACGTCAGATTGGTCGAAGCCAATGCTGATGTCGACGATGCGGAGGTGTTGTTCTAGCTGGCAACGGGAGCCGGTTAGAATGTGTGCAGTTGTGGGACTGCACGAGAGTGTTTGGGACTCGCTGAGTCTCAGAACACTGAGTGACGTGTACATATTTTCTATTTTGGAACGACCACGGGTTGTTCTTTGGGTTTTACGGAGTTGGGTATTTTGGGAACGTCACGAGCATACGAAGACTGAGTGTGTCAGTTTGGAACGCGAAGGAGTTTGTGAAGCATCAGTTTGGAGCGTGAAGGAGTTTGTGAAGCATCAGTTTGGGACGTGAAGGAGTTTGTGAACAATCAGTCTGGAGTAAGGAACGAGAGTCCTAATGCAAGTGGAACGTCACGTGGGAACGTTCCAGATCTGACTGTCCGAGACACCGTGCGACAGGCTCCGGGCGATGTGGCTCGGCGAGGTCACCGAGCGTCAGTCGGGGAGAATTGTCACGGTGTACAGTTAGACGGTGGATTAACGATGCTGGCTGACTGCCTGCAGAAGGTCTACTCACTCCAGACTCTCCGGACCACGTCCAAGCAAGCGGGACCTGCGGCCAAGACAGTGACGTTCCAAGTGTGAAGTCGTGGAGCAGCTGGTCGTGGCGGGAATTGGAGCTGGACCGCCACGCACGAGGGATCTGACAAAAGGTAAGAAGCTCTAAAAACTCTTAGCGAGGTGAAACGAGGAAGTCAGTCGTGGATTTCCTTCTAACAAGAAACACAAGAATATATCAACTTTTACATTACTATCACAGTAGTGTCGCTAATACTACTACCTCCTACGTCGGCCCAAGATACCCACGACCCCGATTAGAGGAAACCCGCGACACTCGTGATCGCCAATGCTGCCTCTAACGTCGCACAGCAACAAACACCAGCTACTGCTGAACCACCAACGTTCATGGTTCCCGTACAATTGGTGCCAACCCCACGGTGACTATCTCAAAACCAGCTGCGCCATCCCCTGCACCTCCAACAGCCACGGAGGAGACTCAAGCTCTGACGCCAGCACCAACGAAAGAGGAACCTAGCGAACCGACACCGGCACCATTGGCACGCACGGAAGACTCCGAAGTCCCAACTCCGGCCCCAGCGAATGAGGAACCAGGCAAACCGACACCGGCACCGTCGGCACCCACGAAAGACTCTGAAGTCCCAACTCCGGCACCAACAAATGAGGAATCGGGTAAACCAACGACAGCAGAAGAGTCATCTCTCTGTATTGAAGTCTCTGTCGAGGGAGATGCGACTTACTGCATCCAGGGCCCGGTTTGCAGCGGTTTTGACGACGGACCAGCTGAAACCACTGTCCTGTCAGAGGTGACATGGTTGTCAAAGACTGCATTGAAACGATTCCGAGTTGGATCGGTGCTAGCGCCTGCGTGGCGCCAGTGGATGCCGTATGTGGGCGCGTTTCCTCTGGTGTTTGGGGATGTAAATTCGGTCCGATCGACGGTAATCATCCTTCACCGGCTCCGACAACCCCGGATATGGAACAAGCGACTGCGCCAACGCCTACGTGGGTCGTAATTACTCCGGAACCTACAGCAGCACGCACAGGAGCTCCGACTTCAACACTAACGGCCCCTAACGTGCCGTCACTGGCGCCTTACCCGTCCATGCCGAATAAAGGCGCTCCATCCAATACCCCAACTCCGACAGCACCGACACCGACGCTTACAGTGCCGGATAGGCCTTCACAAACTGAAACGTCGTACCAACCTTCGAAAGCACCTACGCCTTCGCCAACGAAGCCTGCAACCGATAATTCGGGCACGTACACGTCAGAGCAGCAGATTGAGCAAAATGAACAGCAGAAACAGAGTGACTCGTCGCAATCTGCTGAACAGCTCAGCACAGCAACAACTACTGCGCTGCCAGCTCGGCAGCCATCGGTGTCGGTAGTGTTGCCGCTATCGTCGCTGGTGTGGGCGCTATCGTTGCCATCGCCGGATTCACAGCCTACAATTACCGCCAGAATCGTGCGACTCGCCACGACTTCGAGAACAACATCGTGGCCCCTGTCACGAGTCCTGCGTAATGTTTAATGCTGGTCTTTGCATGCGAGAATATCTCGCCGAGGCACATACATATAGTAAACCTCTTCTACAAGTATAGTATAAAGGTCAAAAATACTTCGAAGGATTGAGTGGCCCCGTGGGGTTCTTACTTAGTTCGGGGCGAGCGAGAGGAGCATTTTCTTTGCGCCTACTTATTCTATTTTAATACTGTATAAGTAAGTGTCCAAAGAGGATATGCTCTTGATAATATTAATAGTAATACAGTAGAGCATGTTTTAATAAGTACGATTTGTAAAAAGCAACCATGATCCGCGCATCTGAAGCATGGGATTTCAGCTGGATGGCGGCGGCCGTGCAGAGCGTGGAGACGTATGAGGCAGCACTTAAAACTGCGGAGGTGCGTGCGTCGATGTGCCGCTAGAACCCACTGCAGCAAACCAGAATCTAATTGGCTCTTGCATCTAGTTCCCCAGCTTGATATTGGCGGCGCTGGTCGAGTTACTACAGGCACCGGAAGCCAATGCTTTGCAACTGCAAGAACTAAGCGACGTCTGTGCGTGATTATTATTATCGCGCCTAATGGATTTCTACCAGGGTTGACGTTGACGGTCGCTTTCTAGTGCTGCAGATGATCGCGTTCCCGATTGACTTGGAACTTCCCCGAGACACGTTGACAACGCTGCACTCAAGTCGGGACTGGGCCATTCAAACGCTGCTAGGCATTCAAGTGGCTCAGTCTCGGGATTTAGATGGAGACGTACTGCCACATCCGACCATGTCCAAATCACTACAGCAGATGCAGAATAAACTGTTCGTGTCAGCGCCATACAGACAGGTCAACGCACAGATGGAACTGCTTCAGTCACTGCTCGGAACGTTGCAAACCGAGGAGGAGACGGACACACTCTCTTACGTACTGGAAATGTGTGCTGATAGTCTGGAGAGTGACGACCTGTTCCTGCAGTTTACAGAGGCGGCGTTATCGGGGAAGACCAACGCGATGACTTTTGGTAGTGCCTTCCTCCAACGACTATTTGATAGGAGATCCATACAACTGCAGGCAGATGTGCGCAAAATTCGACGTCTGTTTGATGCGTTGACACTCGAGAGCAAAGTTCGTGTGTGGGCGAATCACCTTCCGAGTTGGTGCTCACATTTGCAGACGTGGATGCTGCAGGCTCACAGAGCGCCATTCAAGCCGGTGAGCGCTGTGCTGCCTGATGGCTTGTGGCTTGCGTGTGAATCTCGTGCAGATCCCGTTGCTGTGACGGCACATTGTCGTCGATATTCGCACCTGTACGTGACGTTTGTTGAGTGGTGCAGGGATCATGTCGATCTGCTCTCGTCCTGCCGCAGCATGGAGTTAGTGAGTGTGATATCACAAAGCGCAAGACAAGCAGGTGCCGCGCGACTATTTCACCGTGAATTACTGAGCCAGATCCCACTAGGAGATTGGCCACAGAACCAGCGAGAACGAGCATTCGTCAAATTGGCTAGTACTCTCGAACGCCTCCAGGCAACACGAAACACTTCAGACGTTGTATGGCAGTACGAGTGGATTGGAGTACTAGAACGGCCTCACTTACTTCATGAGGCACAGGAACTAGCGTTCAATGGGAACAATAGTCTCGAAGGCGAGCAGGGGTTGTCCACCGTGCGCTCCTCTGCCCAGTTTCTTGGCTGGTTTTACTCCTTCTCTAACTCCGAATCGGCCGATGAGATTTCCACCCTGATCACAACGATAGCGTCGGAGCTAAAGGTGTCAGATTTTCGAAGTGGAGTACAATGGCTTCGACGCAGTCGCGCTGATTTTGGAACTCTTCCCGTCTTGCGTCTTCGTCTTGTGTGGTTTTGGCTCCTGAAAAGCATCGAGATCGCGTTGCAGACGAGTGAGAATCACGCTACGGCAGCTACGACCGAAGTTCTTGAGTCGGTCGAGTATGTTTTTCGACGGTTTACACCGCCCAGGGCCAAGAGGTAAGACGATCGAATTAGTATACATACACCCGGGGCCTGCTTTCCTCACTGCTTTATCGTGGCTGACAGGGCATTTCAAGTGGAGCTCGTGGCGCACCTTCTCGTTGAGCTTGAGTGGCGCATATCAAACACGAACGTGAATGTGAAAGAAAGGTTTTTGAATGCGCTGGAGCCGCTCTGTGCATGGCTCCTGAAGATCGTGCGCTTGATGCAGCTCGAGGAGCAATCCGCGCAGCAGAAGGACTCAAGAAATCGATACAGCAACCGCAGAAGCCCAGCAAATGATATGCAACAATTGACTGAGCGAATTGAGCAGTTTTCTCACTGAATGAATACTTACTTGGCCTCAATTTGAAGTGAAGTTGCTCAAACGCTCAAAAGACTGGCCAAAACACTGTAGACGCTTACTGTTCCAAGACGCCGTCTGACTTCTGGATCTTGAGCGAAAAGTCCAGGCACGGATACCCCTGCGTAAGTTTGCCCTGGCTGACAACGTCCACATCGGGCGACACGTACTGGCCGAGGGTCTCGGGTGTGATGCCGCCGCTGGCCTCGATGAGCAAGTGCGGGAACTGCTTCTTGAGCTCGGCGGCCGTAGCCTTCAGCTGCTCCGGCTCAAAGTTGTCTAGCATGACGATGTCAGCTCCGGCCTTAGCGGCCTCCTGCGCCTCCTCGATGCGGCGGCACTCAACCTCAATCTTCATTGAGAATCCGGCAGCCAACTTTGCCTTGTGTACGGCCTTGGTGATGCTGCCAGCCGCCCACACATGGTTGTCCTTGAGCATAACCATCTGCGACAGGTCGTGGCGGTGCGTGGAAGCACCGGCCACCAGCAACGCATATTTCTCCACGAGGCGGAAGCCTGGCGTCGTCTTGCGGGTGCCAGCCACGTGGCCGTTCCAGCCGAGCGAGCGCGCCTGCTCCACGGACCGACGGGCCTGTGTGGTGACGCCACTGGCACGCGTGAGGATGTTAAGGGCTGTGCGCTCGCCCAGCAGCAGCTGGCGACACTTTCCCGTGACCTTGGCCACGGGCACTTTGCCGCCCGGGACGCCGCTCGGCTTGACCTCATCGCCCTCATTCAATAGCCATTCGACGTGGCAGTTGAGAGAGCGGAACACTTCGGTGAAGAAGGGAACGCCGGCCAGTACACCCTCCGACTTTCCCAGAAGCAACGCCGTTTCCTCATCCTCTGGATCAACAATGAATTAACAATGAGGGCGGGTTAGCTGGCGCTCTATAACGGTGAAAGAAGAAGACTTACCGCCGACCACAAAGCCGCCGACGTCGAACGACGGAATGTCATCCTCTAGCCAAAGCTGCACATGTTTGGTCCACGACGGGGGCAGCAGGTGCGCGAAGTTGTTTCTCGGCTCCGCCATGACGAGTGGGTGAAATGAGATCTGCGTTGCGAAAGTACCGTGAATGGCCATTGACGGGACTTTCGTCATTTTTTAAGAATGCCAGCGTAAAATTTGTAGTTTTCCTAATATTTTAAATTACTCAGTACCGTAATACAATACATTCTCATTTAGGTACGATAAACACTGACCGTCGGATTTGTAGCGCTCTCGTTAATGCACCTTTGTAACGGCACCTTCAGCACCTTTCCTGTCTAATCGGATCGATAAATTACGAGATCAGCACCTTGCTATTTCTGCTTCGGCACCTCTCCCCTCAAATCGAATAATATATAACCACCACTCACGTAATATTTCATGCGATCCAGCCTCCACATGAACCGGTTCGCACGGTTAAGCTCGGAGTCATTGCCGGTTCAGTTGGCGAAACGACGCAGATACAGAAAGTCAATAACGCGACGGAGCAAGAGCATCGAGCGAGGTGCCGGAGGACACGCCGCGCAGACCATGCACACTGAAAACGTGAACAGCGAATGCTTGCAACCGCAGGAAGCTTCTTCAATGCTTCTATGGAGCCGGATTTCAGAGCTTGAGGAGCTTCAGCTCCACGCTGAACAAGATGGAGGATCTTCTCGTGGCGCTGGTGGAGCTTCATGGAGATATTGCGGCTGCTGTAGGCGATAATATGAGAGATGCGGTGACGACAGCAACGGAAGGAAAGGAGCTCCGTCACAACGTGAATGTTTCATTCTCTACAGTATTAAGTGATGTTATTCGTAAAAAGAAGAAAAAGTTTAATTTTATTTATACATGG